TGCTGGATCAAACTTGATTAATGATACTTTCGTATCTGTCCCATGACTTAAAAGTTATGCTAGATTCTGAGTCTGAGATACAAAATGTAGTAATGAGGAAGGTTATGGATACTGAAATTTATAGTTACAAACTTACAAATGAGAAGTTATATGAAATGTATTGAAAGTTGTGGTCATGAATGAGAGGTTGTAAAAAAAGAAAATGAAGCATCAAATTATGATAGGCTAGATGAAATGTCACTTGGAAACCTAAATATAAGGAGTTGCAGTTGTAGCCACTTGATGTATGACCATGAGTAAGAAAAAAATTTCTCACACGCAAGCACACATAAACGCACATATTACTTATACAAACACATTTATATGCATATGTATACACACACACATATTATGTGTGCTTGTATGTGCTTTTATATATATTGTGTGTTTGTGCACGTGTATATAGAATAAACGAGAGTTGGTGTGTCCCTCCACGTTCTTTGGTTGGTGTATTGCTAACATGACACATCCAAGCGTCAATTTATGATCTGAATATGTTGATAATTTAAACTGTAATGCTCTTAGTATGCCACGTCAATGACTCACAAGCCAAGACCGTGGAGGGACATCGGATCCTGTTTACTCATACACACTCACACACACACATATTTGCACACGTGCGTGTGTAAGGTATATTGGATATGAGCTGCCATCATACCTCTCCTACATATATGTAGTGCATATCTATCTTTATGTATGCATATCTATATCTATCTGTATATATATGTATATCTATCTATATATGTATATCATTACACAATTATACATATGTACATGTGCGCATGTGTGACTAGAAGTGACCTTTCATCTAGCCTATCATAAGTATGACGTTTCTTCTTCTTTTCTTATAACGTCTCATCCATGACCACACCTTTCAATTTACTACATATAACTTCTCACTTACAACTATGACAGCCCTTTCTACACAACTTTTTTCATTACTAGTTGTATATGTCATATGACCCTTCATGTATATGTCTAACGTAAGTATACGTCTAGTCGAATTTGGTTGAAGACTAATTAATCAAGTTTAAGTTCAGTTTCCTACAAAATTGATTCTCCAAAAAGTAGTAAGATCTTCTCAACTCCTTAAAAGTTTGAGCCTTGAGTTGTTTAGTAAAACTGTTTGGAAGCTTGTTGCGTTTGTAGTTCTGGTGGTGGATGAAATTGTATGATAATTTTGATCTTCTCGTTCTTCATTTCTTCCTGAACAACGTGCACAAGCTTCTGAATATTTTCTCCTACTTGATTCTTGGGCAAATTATATGTAAACCTTGTGATTTCTCTTTTTTTCTTTCTTTTTTTTTCTTCCATTGAACTCCATTCAGTTTTTCTTTGTCTAATGAAGACAATAATATCATCAACTCAACTTTTTTTTTTAATTCCTTCATGCATGACTCCTCCTTTTTATGTTCATAGTACTATTTATTAATCTTTCTTTATGAAGTAAACTTTGTTGGGATTATGTATTTGATTCTTTGTATAACTTTATGAGAATTAGATAGAGTTAAATATCTATCATGATTAGGAGATTAGGTCTCATCATGATTAGGAATTTGAATCATATTCTAATTAGAAAGTTGGGTTAGAGATAGAGTTTTGGTTTTCCTATATAATTTCTTCTATTGTTGGAGGAAAAACCAAGTAGATGAGAGAGAGCCAATATTTTTGAAATCTAGGGTTAGCAGAGGGCGTAGCCTGATTCAATAACATTGTGCGAGAGGCGAGAATTTCGTAGTATTTGTTCGTGCAAAAGATTACAACATTGGGAGAGGGGTTCGCAGTCTTTGTCCCTTCAAAATATTGTAAGGAGAGGGTTTTGGAGAGAATATGAGAGTTGATTATGTATGTGAGGTTGAGAGATTGAAAGACGAGAGTTGAGTGGTTCTTCTTGTAGTTCTTCCTGATACATAGTGAATTTCTCGTATTGTTGCCCCGTGGACGTAAGTCGAAGTTGGTCGACCGAACCACATAAATCTCGGTGTTCTTTCTTCTTGATTGCGGTTATTATCTATCTTATTGATTGTGGGTTAGCTTCCGAGTTGCGGAGATCGTAGTACGCGGGGGAACTAAAATTCCGCAACAAACTTCTCTTTTCATGTTATCTTCTAACTCTCCTCTTTTAATATTTTCTATTTTTTTGAAGCAAAATATGTTCACCCTTTGCACAAGGAATCACCTTTGGGAGCTTGCTCCAGTTGCATCAAGGTCTTATCTCTTATTCTTGGACCATTTCTGCTTCCTACCCCCCCATCTTTGCGTTCTTCAATTACTTCTTATGTTCCTTAAACTGTAATTTCTTGAGTATTCTTTTTCACTTCCTCTAACTTCAACTTTCCAAAAAATTGTAGTTTTTGAATCATTACTTTTTCGCCCTTTCTTGTTTCTCGCGGAACTTGTTTGCTGAGTCCTATGCTTCAACGTCGTCATCACTGGTCATAATTTTATGCCATGACAAATTATCAAGAACATCATTTCCCCCTGAAAAAACTTATCATACGGTTGCGAGTTGACCACCTCCCATTAATCTTGTCCTCCGGTTCCCGTAGTTGCCCATTAGTTCTCATTTACAACCTCCCATTAATCCTGCCCTCCGGTTCCCCTAGCTGCCTATTAGTTCTCATTTACAACTACGAAATTTTATTCTACTCCATCATCCTCATTACCACCTTTTATGCCCTATGATCCTTCATATTCTAGACATAATTTTATCAAAGTTTAATTTCAATTTAGGGTTTTCGGTTGTATTACTGATAGAGGTAAGTGTGGTATCCGTATACAGTATTTGTATTTCACTTTTTTCAGTGTAGCATTATTAATCTGTTTGTAATTAGTCAGCATCAGTTACTGGTATCAGCATCCTCTGATTCACTATGGACGGACCTCGTAGTTTTGAGAAAGAGATTTCAGGATATGCAAAGTTTTTTCTATGCACCAGCTTGGGCTCTCGTGGGACCTGCATGTAATTGTTTCTTCTTCTTTTTTTCTTCTTCTTGCGATGTAATGTTTCTGTGGTCTCACGTGAAAATTCAGTTTATGCTTGACCCCCATGTAACATTACTGAACTTTTCCCCTTGAGTATAGATAACTCTCAATGAATGTTTTACCAGTTTTCATTGAGTGAACTTTGGTAAATCCACCCCCCCCCCCCCCCCACCCCCCTCTTTTGGCCTAGCATATTAGACTTGCAAAAAATGCACTGTCGGCGAGTAATATTTGATATCTGAAGAGTTCTCCATCCTGCATGTTAATTGTAATATAATAATCATTTAACTTGCATTTAGAGTATCTCTAGTAAAAAGATGTTGATCCTAATAATACGAAAACGTATATATCTTCTATGCATCCAAAATTTGACATATTGTCATACAGGCATCATCTTGTGATGCCTGTATGACAATATTGCTTTTACAGAGTACTGTAAATATTGACATATTGTCATACAGGCATCATCTTGTGATGAAAAACGGCAAATCCACGACTATCTATGTTAGACAATAGAACTACAGAGGAGAATTTTTTGCAGCCGACAATTTTCATCTCCTCTTCCGTACATACGTATTTACAGCTAAAAAAGCAAGGTAAAATAAAGGATTTATACTAATCCTCCACCACGAATTGGTATCTCTCTCCTATATATTCTAAAGGATAGTATACTGTAGAGTGGGGGGAGGGGGGGGGGGAGAGGGGGTACAAGGATGGGTGGGAAAATGAAAGGTCATGATGAAAATGAAAGGGTAGGATCTTCTTATTAGGAGATATTAGGAGCTTTTCATTAGGAGAGGATCCGGATCCCTCATGAAACCATCGATAAGTTATAATTTTTGTAGAAATCTCCCAACATCTTTTGGTTAAATTACACTAAACTCCCCCAACATCTTTTAAAATGCCTTAATATGTTGTTTTTTGGTTCTAATTTGTCGGGGTCTGAAAACTAATTGGGGGGTTTAGTGTGATTTTGAAAGTTATTGAGAGTTTACTGGAAAATGTTGAAAGTTTTTAGGGTTTTAGTGTAATTCACCCAAAAATAAACTTTGAGCCCGACTGCTGTGTTTCCTAGATCCTGATAAATCCGAGGGCAATCTTTACATGTTGGTAGAGGAAAAAAAAATAGACGAACTATAAACGGTGTAATTTGATTTCATAGATACCATATCTGAATTTGAAACTCTTAGATAATCCTATAATGATGATCAAACCAATGTTGATTGATGTTGTTCCAGTCCACTTCCATTCATTTCATACTAGTGTGAGCACCGTGCAAAGAACGGTATATTTTTTCCTGCTACAGTAACACCGGTTTTAAATGATACCATAAATTCTTGAATTGCTACAGCATCTCGTCTCTGCTACAGTATTCCCGCGTGATACAATAATATTTTTTTAAAAACAATACCCAATTTTATGTTTACTACAGTAAAATGCTACAGTAAATGTTACTGTGCATTTAGCTTAGCATGAATAGTGAACCTGCGTTCTCCCATTTGTATAGAGGAGTAGATGTAGAAAGCAGAATGCATGAATAGTGAACCTGCGTTCTCCCATTTGTATAGAGGAGTAGATGTAGAAAGCAGAATGCATTTCAAGAGTCGCAATCGGCAAGTAGGATTACATCACGCTAATTCATGCGATTTAATGTAATACTGTAGAGGCAAAAACATTGCACTGTTTCTGCGTTTGAAATGAAGGGATCAAGATAAACAATTCAGAATAAACCTCACGAATGGATTGAGGTAACGAATCGAGAAAACGATTCGAAGTAAAACTCAACACTGATAATCCAGAATTAACGTGTTAAAAGTTGGAGGTTTTAGTGGAAAACATCCAAGGAGATATAATTAGTTGGAAAAGCAAAGTCTCAGGGAGTTCCATAAACAAACACAGGCCGAAAGTTCAGGGGGTTTCCTGAAACATGCCCAACAAATTATACAGAGTACTACCCGGTCTCCGGAGGAGGCATATAAATAAAAGATCATATATTTTCTCATCAATGCGTACCGCTTTGCCTTAGCCATAGAGAGATCAGAATTGTTCTACAAAGAAAGAGCTGAGATGAGAACTAGAACTCACATGCATACTACTTGAGAATTCATTAAAAACCCTAAAACAAAATAGAACCAACTGCGGAGTCCATACACGAACCAAGTTTCACCTCTTAACATCCAAACTAACTAACATAAACGTCCTTGTTGAAAGAAAAAGCCCAACTTCAAGAGATGCGAGTAACAGTCGACTAAAAGACTCCACTGAGGAGATTGGCAGCGGTGCTAATCGCTGCTCCGGTGATGGCACACTGTACTATGTGCTCGTGTGTTGCGTCCTCTGCAGTCAGTGCTAGCGCCGCTCCAGTGATTGCGCCGGCCACAGCACTGTTCTTCTGCACAGAACAACATAAACACAATATAATAAATTTAGTACACAGTCTTAGTTCTCAGTTCTCTTGCACAATGTTTATAAACTTAATCCTACATAAGGTTCAACCGAAAACCTTATCTCGTGTGTGTATTCTATATTTCTTGAGGTAATGTTATGATGTGAGATTCGAGGGAAGCTGGACATGAGCTGGCATCTTGTATTAAAATGAGATATCAAGATATGTGAAGGTGTCAATATGTTCTGATGTGATTAACATGATGGGTCTCTAACACTCCCTAAATCTGTGGGTAGATCATTTAAGCTAAACGTATAGCCACCTGATATCCATTTTTCCCCCAAGGTTTTTTGCCTCATATCCATCTTTTCTAAAAGAATTCTTATTTTCTCTGAGAAGCATGCCATTGGTGAATAATTAGCTATTAGGTTTTTAATCACTAATACTTTCCAAAGCATATGCTTTGTGTTTCTATATCTTTCACATGTAAAATAAATTAAATGATCGTAGGAACAACATGGTTATTATTAACAACTGTAATAAATATTAACAACTGTTAATAAATATTAACAACTGTTAATAAATATTAACATCGGGGGAAGAATTGTTCATTAATTTGAAGTAATAACTATTCACATCGGAACTAACCCAGTCATGTGAACCACGAGCCTCCCTTAACCCGTAGGTCAAACCAGAGTACATGCCAGCGGCCAAACCTGCAAGGAAGAGTCCATTGGTAACACAGTTTGCGTAAGAAGATACCACGAGAAGTGCAAAGAAAGAAATAAAACTAGCTTAATTAAGAACAAAAGATTGGAGCTAGTTCTACTATGTATTAATTTGTTTATCACAAATTGACAGTTTAGTGCATGCAAACTGATCAGTGAA